GAGTAGGAGGAGGAGGAGGGGGAGGCATCGTTCTATCTCCATCCTGTTATCTCTTCCCTCCTCCCTCCCTCACTCCTCCCTTCCATCAGCGTCCTCCCGCGTACATTTCCCGGCGCGCGTTCCGAGTAGACCTAGGCTGAGTGGCGACGTAGGGCCAGCCGAAGGTCCACTGGAGGAAGACGAGAAGAAGAAGCAGCAGGAGGAGGAGGGGGAGAAGCCCTCCCCCCTCCCCCTCCCCCCCCTCCCCCTGCCACCATCCTCCTCCTCCTCCCTCCCCCCAACCCCCTCCCCCCATCCCCCATCCCCCCATCCTCCTCCTCCTCCCCTCCCCCCTCCCCCCTCCCAACATCCCCCTATCCCCCCATCATCCTCCTCCTCCTCCTCCTCCTCCTCCTCCTCCTCCTCCTCCTCCTCCTCCTCCCTCAACGCCTCCCTCGGGCATTTCCCACCCCGCCGAGAATCCGGTGCGGGTCCGCCGAGCCGCAGAGAGGGAAATGCTTCCTCGTGCCGCCATCCCTCGTCACTTCACTCGGGGATGGACAGACCTCCCTTTAGTAAAACGTGGTTTAGTGAAAACGACCTCGGGCCCAAACCTGGGCGGCGCAAGCCTGGAAAATAACGGCCGCGGCGCCCTCTCGAGAACCGAAAACGGACAATTCACTAATCGACGTGTCACTATTGGGGGTTCTGTCCAGCCCCGATTCACCACCTACAAAGCCCCCCCCACGGACCTGCACTGGAACGCGCTTTAGAATCAGGATGCCGAGGCGGGACCCACACCTGGCCGTGGCGACGAGAGCGGGCCCCCCCACAAGGGGCCTAGAAACGGGAAGACTGGGGCGAGGGCCTCCTCCTCCTCCTCCTCCTCCTCCTCCTCCTCCTCCTCCTCCTCCTCCCTACTTCCTCCTCCCTACTTCCTCCTCTTCCTCCTCCTCCTCCTCCTCCTCCTCCTCCTCCTCCTCCTCCTCCTCCTCCCCCTCCTTCTTCTCCTAATAGGGGGGAACGATCGGGGGGGAGGGCCGGCTCGGGGTGAGAAGCCGACCTGGAATCGGAAATACGTAGCCGATCGACCTGCGAACCGCACGTTCATGATCGGGGTGGGCTATCAAACCCCTTTCGGCGAAGAATGGGCGACTTGAGGTCGACGCATCCACCCCTGAGCCTATCCTACCCTACCCTGGGTGTCCTCCCCTCCATTCTTCCAGTGAGAAGACACCCGTGACCACGGACAATGTATGGGACTCCCGCGCAGATCGCATCGGCCCGCGCTGGACACCCTCGGGATCACCCCTGGCGTCGCCCATGGCGTCGCCCCACGCGCTCCTGTCACTGGGGACATGTTTTCACTACGCGTCGACAAAAACATCTGGTAAAACTGCCCATGTAGTAACAACACGTCAGGCACACGGGGCAATCACAACGACAAGGGGAGGAGGGAGGCGGGGAAAAAGTTGCCAACCCACGCTTTCGGCGAAGTCCTAGAGTTCACGCCCATGCATCGTGCTGTGTGCTCCTCCTCCATGGCCTCCTCCCGTCTCGGCCACCCTTCCCTGGGGCCGACCCACCCCCGTGTCCCACATCTCGTGCAGCTGCTTGTCGGAGATGTCCCCCACGCACTTCTCGCCCTGCTCCTCCTCCCCATCCTCATCCTTCGTCGATCTCCTGCCTCTCCACCTCCTCCTCCACGTCCTCCTCCTCCTCCTCCTCCTCCTCCTCCCCCTCCTCCTCCTCCTCCTCCTCCTCCTCCTCCTTCTCCACATCCTCCTGTTCGTCCTCTTCCTCCTCCTCCTCCTCCTCCTCCTCCTCCTCCTCCTCCTCCTCCTCCTCTTCGTCCTCCACATCCTCCTCCTCGTCCTCCTCCACGTCGTCCTTCTCCTCCTCCTCCTCCTCATCATCATCCTCCACCTCCTCCTCCGCCTCCTCCCTCCCTCCGTCCTCCTACGACTGCATCATCATCACCACCATCATCAGCCGCAGCATCAGCATCAGCTTCAGCATCAGCATCAGCATCATCATCATCAATATCAAAATCCCCATCAGCATCATCACCACCATCATCATCACCGTCATTATCATCATCATCATCATCATCATCATCATCAGCAACATCATCACAGTCATCACCAACATCAGCGCCACCATCATACACTCAGCATCACCACCAACATTAGCATCGTCATCATCAGCAGCATTAGCATACTCACCAGCATTAGCATACTCACCAGCATATACCATATCATCCTCATCAACAAAAGAATCAACATCATTCGCAGCAGCAACATCATAGTAAACCTCATCATCGTCATCGTCATCGGCCTCGTCATCATTATCAACACCAGCACCAGCATAGGGCATTAGCGTCACTATCATCATATCCTGTATCCATACCATCACCACAACCACCATCAACAGCAACATGATATTAGTCAACATCACCAGCAGCATCACCACCATCACCATTATCACTACCGCCATCACAATCATCATAATCCTTCTCATCGCCGTCATCACCACCACCACCATCATCATCATCATCATCAGCAGCATCATCATCATCATCATCACCACCACCATCACCATCACAATCACCATCATCATTATCAGCATCATCATCATCATCATCGTCGTCATCATCATCATCATCATCATCATCAGCATCATCATCACCAACAACAACAACAACCTTCTCCTCCATTGTCCCTTCTCGCTCTCCCCCTCCTCCTCCTCCTCCTCCTCCTCCTCCTCCTCCTCCTCCTCCTCCTCCTCCTCCTCCTCCTCCTCCTCCTCCTCCTCCTCCTCCTCCCCACCCCCCCTCCTCCCTCATCGATCTCCCCCTCATCATCCCTCCTCCACCCTTCTCCAGGGCCTGCCCCCTCCTGAGATGGCGCGCCCGTAGTACACTCCTCACTCCTAAAGGGTGAGGGGTCCCCCCTTACTGAGATACCCATTCCCGCTACCACCCCCCCCCCCCTTGGACCTCCCTGCCCGAAGCTCCCCCCCCCTTTTTCCGCCCCTCGGAAGCCCCCCCTTCCCAATCGAGCTCCAGAAGCTACGCTCCCCCCCCCCTTGTCCAAGGGGAGGGGGCTTAGCTATCAACCCCCCCGCCCCAGACATCCCCTGCCGGAAGACCCCCCACCCCCCTCGATTTGTTCCGACTCTCGGAAGCTCCACCCCCCTCCCCCCTTTCGCGCTCCGGAAGCTACCCCCTCTTCTCCCTTTCCACGAAGGGCGGCTTAGCTATCTCCCCCCCTTTGGGCCCTCCCAGCCAGAAGCCCCCCCCCTCCTTCCCTTTTGGGCTAAGGTGTGGGGGGGGGGGTGGAAGCCCCCCCCCGTTTGGCTAAAGGAAGGAGCGCCGAAGACCAAAAGGGCACCGAAAACCAACAGAGCGCCGAAAATCAAACAACCACAGAACATTGAAAGGGTGCGCGAAAACCAGAGGCGCGCCGAAAACCAATAAGGCGGGGACAATCAAAGGGTCGCCAAACACCAAAAGGGTACCGAAAACCAAAACGGTGCCGAACACCGACAGAGCGCAAAACACTAAAAGAGCACCGAAAACCAAAACGGCGCTGAAAACCAAAGGAGCGACGGACACTAAAGGGGCGCCGAAAACCACAAGGGCACCAAGAAGCAAAGGAGCGCCGAACACCGAAAGGTCGCCGAGAACCAACGGGGCACCGAAAATCAAGGGGGCGCAGAAAAACCACAAGGAGGACGACAACCAAAAAAGCGTCGACCCCAAAATATGCGCCGGAAGCCAATGATGCGCTGGAAACCAGAAAGCGCCGAAAACCAAAAGGACACCGAAAACAAAAGTGGGGGCGCCGAACGAACACCAAAGGCGCGCCGAAAACCCAAAGAAGCGCCGAAAACCAAAGGAGCGCCGAAAGGCTCCGAAAGAACCGAATGGCGCCGTAAACGAAAGGGGCGCCGAAAACAACAGAGGCTCCGAAGACGGACAGGGCGCCGAAGACAAAAAGAGCACCGAAAACCAAAGGGGCGCCGAAAACCAACGATGCGCCGAAACCATCAAGGGCGTCGAAGAAGCCAGAGACGCGACGCGACGATTACTAAATGTGCGTCGGAAACAATGAAGGGCGCCAAAAACCAAAGGGAGGCCCTCCCCCTTTGTCGGGAGCGGCCAAGAGGGGGGTGTCCAAGAGGGGGGGGTGCAATTCATGACCGGCGGCATGTGCGCGGCCCAGCGGGGGGGCCAGGGACGTAATGAAATGACCATGAAATATGGGGAAATATCATGGCCCCCGCCACGACATCCCCCCCCCAAAGTCATCACCCCCATCTTTGCCGCCCCCGACTTAGGAAAGGGGGGCCTGTGCTTATACCTCGGGCCACGACGAGGAAGGCGGGGGGAGCCTCCAAGCTCCCCCCCCCCTCCTAGCCAGGGGCACCCCAGCCACAAAATCCAAACCAGAGGAAGGGGGGGTAGCTTCGGAAGTCCCCCCCCCCCTCTTTGAAAGGGGAGACCAGGCTGACTCCGGGCCCCGAAAAAGGGGGGGGAAAGGGGGGGGTAGCTTCCAAGCTCCCCCCCTTAAGCTGAGCTTTTTAAAACCTACGGGTGGGTTTTTAAGCTATGCTTTTAACAAGAGGGTGGGGGTTTTAGCTAGGCTTTGTTTGACAAGGCTTTAAAGCTAGGCTTTTAACAAGAGGGTGGGGGGGGCGGGGAGATTCGGAAGTCCCCTGGGGCTCCCCTTTTCGTGAGAAGTGTGCCACGAGCGCGGTCTTTCCCCCTCCTCCTGTTTTTCCTCACCCCTCCGCCGCCTTCTCCTTTGTGTACGGCAGGCACAAGACCGACCAGAACGTGTGAGTGAGGTCGTACAGCGGCGTCATGTCTGGGGTGCCGGGGTTGTCCCAGTCCTGCAGCACGAAGGCACCGCACGGGGCCAGAGTCCTCCCGAGCTGCCTGGAGGTGGCAATGATGTCCCTTTCGCTGCCGATGTGATGGAACACCTCCTCCGAGAACGCGAAGTCGAACGCGCTGGTCAGGCGCCCTGTAGATATCTTGCTCTTGAGGGAGCGGGGGTAGGGCTTGTCCAGCTGCACGAACTGGAAGAACTCCTTGTTCTTGTCCGCGCGCACGTCCTGCACGTCGATGCCCACGTTGTTCCTGCCGACGCCGCACTTCCCATACTCCCGGAGAGAAATCTCGAGACCGGCTCATCTGTTGCGCTGTCGCGCCCACGATCTTCAAAGGATGGGTGCGACTCAACCCGCTCTGGCAAGGAGGAATTTGTTAATTTAATCCTCTTGCAAGATGCAAACGGACCCCCAGGGAAAAGGATCCTGGACTCCGGAGCCTCCCCGAAAGGATTCGATCTCTCTCCTGAGTCGCCCAGGGAGACAGAAAATGATGGAAAACCTCAGAACTGGCTTCCCCTCAAGACCCGCGTTCATCATGTCGAATGATTGTTCCAAGGAGGTTGCTTGGGGGGCAGGGGGTCCGTGTTCAGATTTCCCTCCGGGACATACGCCGCCAGCGAGTCGCCAAAGCCGCAGCCATAGTCCAGCACCCGCTCAGGGAAGCTCACCCCCCAGTCCCTGAGCTGAGACCTCAGCACACTGCAGTCGGCTTCGGGATCCTCCCGGGAAAGGTTCTGCACAGCCTTTTGGGAACCGTCCGAACAAGGTCCGGGTAGATGTGGTCGGAGGCTCGCGCTGTTTCGCCAATGCGTCGCCGATGCGTCGGCGATGCATCGGAGACGTCGGCGATGCATCGACGCCATCGCCTTGGTGAGCATCGGGCTCCACATCGAGCCGCATCGTCGACGCATCGGCGCTACGGTGCAATCTTCCGAGCCCACTTGGGAGGCCCAGGACCTTGGAGCCCAGACCTCTCACGACACGACTTCTTGCGGCCACAGGCCTCGGGAGCTCCCGCTCTTCCTCCATTCCTTCTCCTTATAGAAAACTCCTCCCTGTCGCACCCCGAGGCCAGTTTTTAGGGCGGGCCGGGAGTTTCGCCTGAGACTTCATCACCATGTATGACTCTGAGGCTTAAAAAATTGCAGCAGTTTCGCAGATGGAGGGCAGATGGTCTTCAAAATGTGGATCTCGCCTAAGCGCCGCGCACATTCGTTTTAAACATGTGCAACAGTTTCACGGCTTGAGGGCGGGTGGTTTTCAAAATGTGGCTCTCGCCTTAGCGCCGCGCACATTGTTTTTTGTTTTTTACATGCAAGAGCTTTACGGATCGAGGGCGGGTGTTAAACAAAATATGGTTCTCGCTTTAGCGCCGCGCACATTCGTTTATGTGCAAGAGCTTCACGCAATGAGGGCGGTTCATTTTCAAAATGTGGCTCTCGCCTAGCGTCGCGCACATTCGTTTGCAAAATTCCCAAGAGTTTCACGGAGTCCCATGATCAACTTATCAGAAATGGTGTTCTGGACGGATCCAAGATTATGCGGGTGCAACAATTATGTTGATTCGCGGTGTTGCAGTCCGAAAAATGGCGCTCTGGAGCGATTCCGGATCGTCAAGACGCAGCAGTCAGGTTGACACGCGGAGTTGACATCCCGAGAACAATGCTTGGCATGCTTCAGGATCTTCACGCGGTTGTCTTCCAACTAGGCAGTTCCCTCAATGGAAATGAACCGTTGTGGGGGCCTATGAAGAGGGAGCATGGAGGGAGGGTTAATTCCAACATTGTTGATGACTCTGGGTTTTACACTGGTCCTCCTCCTCCTCGTCCACCTCCTCCGCCTCCTGATCCTCCGCCTCCTCCTCCGCCTCCTCCTCCTCCTCTTCCTCCTCCCCAGGACATGTTTTCCATCACAGTCTGACCTCTGCTGGTCCAGCTGAACGGGGGTCCGCTGGCCAGGAGCTGGTAGCCCGGGCGCTGGGGCTCTACTCTCTTGCTCGGCGCTTCGGCATTTGGCGAAAAGGGGGGGAGGGGGGGGGGGGTCTGGCTCCAGACCTCCGCTTAATGCAACTGTTTGCAGTAGTGCGTCCTATGGGGGAGACCCCACCTGCTTGAAATAGGCGCCAACAACCGCCAAGATCTACTACATAGGGGGGGGGGGGAGGGGGTACGATGGCCCGCGCAGATCGGCTCCGAAGATGTTTGCGGCGCCCCGGAACCCCTGAGCCCTTTCTTGCGCCCAGCTCTCGTTTTCAACCAGACTTCCGCTCTCAGAGCGTCCGGGAACGCTCTGGGATTGATCCTTGTCCTGGCCCCGTCCGAAGATGTCCCCCTGTCTGCCTCCTCTTTCCAGCCCCGGGCGGGGTGCGGAAACGGCCTCTGGGCTCCAGAAATACTTTGCTGCATCTTCGGGGGCCCATTCTGTCGCATCGCGACGCTGTGCGCCTCGATTCCGCGTCGAATCCATGCAGCGCGTCATATGCATGTCGAATCCGCGTCGAACCAGCTCGGGCGGGTGTTGAGGGGGGTGACCAAATTGGGGGGTGCAGAACATGGCCTTTAAGGGACCCTTTCGGTCCAACCCCAATTTAGGTCACCCCCCATTGCCACCCCCCCGATCCGCGTCGGATGCAAAACTCGACGGCCATTTACGGGACATATGAACCAAGTATGCAGCACCAGAAACGGCGAGAAAGCATCTGGCGCAATTTTTTGAGGCCACCCACCCAGAAATCCATGCCAAAAGATACCAACAGGACTTTCGCACCTGTCCAGTGGTGCGTTCTCGCCAGGATATCGAAGCGGATCCGGCTGTGGCGACGAGAAGCCTCCAAAAGGCAGCAAGTGCGCGGAGAGCGTACAGCAGCAGCCTCGAGCGTCGAAACTCGAGTTCCCTCGAACGTCCAGAGAAGGTCTGGCTCCCGAGCGGGCTTTTTCGGCGGCCTTGTCCGACTGGGTCTTCATCGGGGCTGCGGACGGCGCGACGGCGAAGGCGTGCACCACCTCCAATGCAGTGAGGCAGCCTCTGAATTAACCCTCAGGAGGGGAGGAGGAGAGGAGGGAGGAGCAGAAGGATTAGGACGAGAAGGAGAAGGTGGAGGAAAGAGGAGGAGGAGGAGGACGACGAGGAGAAAGGCGTGAGGAGAAGGGGGAAAGAACTGTAGAAACTGTGCAAATGCGACGACCGAAGTCTCTCGGATAATGAGCGATGAGGAGGAGGAGGAGGAGGAGGAGGAGGAGGAGGAGGAGGAGGAGTGTCACTTACCAAACTGCCAGGTCTGTGAGCGGGCCGCCATTGAACAGTTCCTCGGGTGAGTCATGGCTACGCCGAGGAATTGCCAATATGGGACGCCTATTGCTTAGGGCGAACCCCAATTCGCAGCTCGCAGCCAGCAGGACGAGAGAGGGTGGAGAAGGAGGAGGAGAAGGAGGAGAAGGAGGAGTGATGATCACCATGCCCGGGCTGGGAACAGATCCCTCAGGGCAGCGGGTGCCGAGCGTGGCAGCTCTACATTGGGCAACCCACGGTTCCCATCTCTCAGCCGACTATGCGCAGCCATGTTTCTTCCTCGCATGCCTCCCCACATCCCCTTTACACTTGGCGGCCTTGCGACGTCAGACATGGTACATGCCGCAAGTACAGAAGCAACTCAAAAGAACGGCGAGAATGAGATCGCAGACTGCACATATGTCTCTCGCAGTGTGACCGTATCGTTGTTTCGTCTTTACTCCCCCAGCACATCACAAGGGAATGCTGGAGTTCTGCCAGAGCGGGGGCCATCTCTGAACGAATTCCCCCATGAGTGTTCCTCTCGCAGGTTGCTTCTACCAGCCATCGTTCCAAGCGTTCAGATGCACTTTGCTCCTTTACTCAGCCAGCGTCCGCCGCCGCCGAGCTACACACCACGACTTCAAAGCAGATGGGACAAACTTGTTTGCTGGCAGAGCGGCCAGTACATTGGCGAATCCAATGGAGTCCTTGAACACATTCGTTCTCAAACTTCAGACATCATTCTAATTACCCATGCTGTTGCCGAGGATCCAGATGGTGGTAAAGGCCAGACATGCGCGGACCGGGGCACGCGACACGTTTCTCAGGCAAAGGGGTTGATCAACAAGCACGTCATTTGCAGAGCAGGGGCATCAGCCACGGGCACTCGACTATCTCGAAAGGGGTGGGCGTTGCTTCCGATAGGCCTCAGTGTTCTTCAGGAGTTGGGACGGTGACATCAGATGCTGTGGATAATTCGCAAGGGCAAGCAGCAGCGGGAGAATGACTGAACAATAGCATTGATGCTGCTGCAAGCCCCAGCGTTCAAACAGCCAAGTTATCTTCAGATTAGGGCCGAGGCAAGCAAAACCATGAATCAAGTCCTCAGCCTCGTTATTCGCTTGTCTTCCAATGGGGTGGACCACTTGAATGTCTTGACGGCATGCTTAGCAAGATCAGCCATACACCAGAAGCGAAGGTTTCGAGACTGCGTTGTTCAAGGCAAGACGCTGACAATCTAAACGTGCGGTATGCGATCCAAGCATCCTGCACGTGATCCTCTCAGAAAGCAAGCCGTCCAGAAGAAAACATGATATGCCATCGTTCGTGCGTCATTTGGCCTTGTTTCACCACCCTGTACTAATCTAGACCGCAATATAATCAACGCCACCTGCTTCATGACATATGTCGTAAGTTCACGTGTGCTTTCACGTGCACGTATTGCACTATGCTGTTCGGGACGGGGGGTGGTTGATATGAGTGGAGGAGAAGGCGGTCTGCGCTGATTCCGTCCGCAACTGCATGCACGCTCGCATCACTCGGGTCTCAGTTCAAAGCAAAGACTCACGGTAAGGGCACCCAACGAGGAGGGGCCTGTTGGAACGGGGAGGTGGCGGAAGAGAATGAGGAGGATTTACGGTGCACGCTCGCACCACGCTGGCCACAGCTTCAGATAAAGACCCTCGATGATGGCAGCCAAAGAGGAAGTGCTTGAGGGTACCTATGCCCAAGGCGGTGTGGGATGGTGGAGGATCTGCGCTGGTTTCGTTCGCGTGCTGATGCACGCTTGCATCACCCGGACCGACGTTTCAAGCACAGATCCTTGGTGACGACATCCAAGGAGGAGGAGGAAGAGGAGAAAGAGGAGGAGCTTGATGGGACGATGGTGGGGGCGGAAGAGGAACTGCGCCCATGTCGTTCGCATGCTGATGTGCGTTCGCATCATTCGGCCCGCAATTTCAAGCAAGGACCCTCGATGAGGGCATAGATGGGCCAAGGAGGTGGAGCTGATGGAGGATGAGTGGTGGGGAGAAGGATCTGTGCTGGTTTCGTCCGTGTGCTGATGCGCGCTCGCATCACCCATGCCGCAGGTTCAAGCAAATACCCTGGGTGAGGGGATCCAAAGAGAAAAGGCTTCATAGAACGGGAGAGTGGCTCCTGGGTGGTGTTGGATGGTAGTGGGGGATCTGCGCTGAGCTCGCTCGCGTAATGATGCCTGCTCGCATCACCTTGGCCGAAGTTGCAAGCAACGACCCTCTATGAGGGCATCTCAGGAGGGGAAAATTGATGGAAATGTGATGGTGAGAGGAAGAGGAGCTGCGCCAAGATCGTTAGCATGCTGGTGCGAGTTCGCGTCACTCGGGTCGCAGCTTCAAGCAAGGACCCTCGGTGAGGGCATATCAAGGCGTCCGAGGAGGTGAAGCTGAAATGGAGTATGATAGCACAAGTAATGGGGACAATTATGGGCGAATTGTCCTTCGCCCAACTAGTTCCCATGTAGATGCATTCTCGAATCACCCAGTCGCAATTTCAATCAAAGACCCTCGTAGGTTGCGTTGGAGGGAACTTGTTTGTGTATAACCTAGCGGGCCCGACATTTTCTCGCAGTCCGAAGTTCATTGTTACTCGCTGCAACTATAAACCAGAGTCAGGGCATCCTAGCGTAGGCCCTGTGCACTGTAAGTCCTCGGTGATGGCCACACCTGTGTGTTGGTAGGGCCACGGAAAGCAGGATTGAGATTGCATCTTGGAAGTCGACGGGGCATCCTTGACGCGCTGAATTGCTCTCTTCCCTGGCGGGCTTCTCTTCCTGACCAGTGCGATCCGCCCTTCTGTTTCCCATCGTGCACGCACTGGTGCCATAACTCCGAGGTTGATGGAGCGGTGCGTTCCAGTCCAACGCGAAGGGAGGAGGCAGGGAGGCAGAGGATGAGGCTCCGACCGGTGGTGCCAGCAGCCTGGCAGAGCACCAAAGGAGGCGCCAAAATTCTGCGAGATGGCATTCGAACGGCACCGTTGCAGCGCGGTGCCATCCCGGCAAGTGCCAAAGAGGCAACTACGCGTAGAACCTGGCATTGCATCAAACAACAGCCGCACATCCTCCCCACATGGCCAACTTCAGTACACCTTCTAGGGTAGGCGTCTGCTGGACGTCAGGGGTGCTAGTCCTGCCCAGCACATGACGTCGCACTGTCATCGTTACCCGCTGCTTGTCGTAACAAGCATTCTTGATCATTTCCGTTGTGCGCGGGTGTCGGAGCTTGGGGGATGTGAACGGAGGTAACCCCAACCGGGAAATCGGTTTCGGTTTCGGTTCGTGTCGCGTGTGCGTGCGAGGCGAACCTGCGCGAGATCCTTCACTGGTAAAGGCCACATGGAGCACAAAGGGACGCCCGCCCCCCTGGCCGGGCGGGCATCCCGATGGTTAACCCGAAGGTTGTCCCGAGGGTTGTTCCGAGGGTTGTCCCGATAGTTGTCCCGATGGTTGTCCCGATGGTTGTCCCGATGGTTGTCCCGATGGTTGTCCCGATGGTTGTCCCGATGGTTGTCCCGATGGTTGTCCCGATGGTTGCCCGAATGGTTGTCCCGATGGTTGTCCCGAAGGTTGTCCCGATGGTTGTCCCGATGGTTGTGCCGACGGTTGTCCCAATGGTTGTCCCGACGGTTGTCCCGGTGGTTGTCCCGATGATTGTCCCGATGGTTGTCCCGATGGTTGTTCCGATGGTTGTCCTGATGGATCATAGAAAGACAGATAGATAATATTAAATATATACATAGGTATATAAATTGACTGGTTTATAGGAGGGTTTATTCATGCATTGCTAGATTGGTATATTGATATATGGATGCAGTGGTCGATACATAGGTACACGTATAGATATATATATATGTATGTGTAATACCCTGGTATATCGCATGTTCATATATTGATAGCTTGAGAGATGGATGGGTATATGGACATATCTGTATGACACATTAATTGATTCATGTATTGGTAGTTTGGTATACTCGTAGATCAAGGGATCCGTATATATACATATATATATGTGTATACGGATCTATGTGTATAAAAGATAACTGAGCATTTATAGATAATGATGCGTATACACAAAACATAACTATAGCGTTATATATGAAGATACAGAGATCGATGGGTAGAACGGTAGTTCGATACACAAGTAACTATCTAGACAGGTCGATAAGTAGATAGACGAGGCCATCATGACCAATATGACTACCACCACCACCATTACTACCACCATTAGTTGTATATATAGATGTAGATAGACAGATCGATCTATACATCGATATATATATATATATATATATATATATATATATATATATATATATATGTATATGTATTCCTCTTCCTATACTTTTATAAGCCCGGGCGGGGGGAAAACCCGTTCCCCCCCCCAAAACCGGCCTCCCGGGACCTGGGGCTTTGGGGCCCTCCGGACGGGCCTCGAAGCGGCCACCGGGCCTCGCAAGGCGTTTTGCCAAGCCTTCCCAGCACACTTTAGGGCGATCCGGGGGGTCATCGGAGACGTCCCAGAGACCCCCAAGACAGCACAAGAGCGCTCCAAGAGTGACCGACGTGACCTCAAGATGGCCCAAGAGGCCTCCAGGACGGCCCCAAAGAGGCCTTCAAGAGCACTCCCAAGAGGCAAAAATCATGAATTTTCTATAGGTTTTTGGTGAATTTTGGGGTTATCCTCTTTTCGGCTTCCCGACGCTCCAAGACGGCGGTCTTCTGGGCGTCCGAAGCCGCCTGGGAGGCTCCCAAATCGCCCCACAACCATCCGAAAGGGCTTCCAGGCAGTCCAAGAGAGCCCCAAAACGGCACAACACGGGTCCAATCTGGCCCTCAGAGAGCCCCATGGCGGCCCAAGATGGCCCAAAGACACCTTCCGACGAATTCCAAATCGTGATTCGGTCGTTCAGGGAGACGGCGATTGGAGGCAGGGTGGCCCGAGGAAGCCCCCGAAGGCCCCCAGAATACGCCCAGGAGGCCTCCAGAAGGCCTTAAGAAAGCCCGAAACAACTTTGGTGAGGCCCCTAGAGGCTCTCCAAGGAGGAGCCTCCGCAAAAAAGAGCTGAGGAGGATGGGGAGAATGCGCAGGGTATGGCGAACACCAGGAACAATAAGGATGGAGGAAGGATAACGAATAACACCATTATAGCGGCGATGCCGGAAAAGGCAACCAGGAGTTATCGCTAAAGTGTCGGCTTGACCTTCCTTCCATTCCGCCTGCATGCCAAACTTCAAGGACCAAGGTGCATGGCGCGAAGCGCCACTACAGTCTTGTATATATATATATATATATATATATATATGGGTAGGTATATCTATAGGTGTGCATATATATGTATGTATATATGGATAGATATATAGATAGATATATATAGATATGTGTATATATAGTTAGATATATAGCACCCCGCAATTGCGGATAAGAGTGAGGGGGCGGGCGCGGGCGACGCGGGCGTTGTCAAGCCGGCGGACCTCGTGGCCCCCACCTTCCTTGTCGATGGCGCTCTCCTTTTCCCCTCCTCCTCCTCCTCCTCCGCCTCCTCCTCCTCCTCCTCCTCTTACTCGTCCTCGTCCTCGTCCTCATCGTCATCGTCGTCCTCCTCCTCCACCTCGTCCTCCTCCTCCTCCTCCGCTTCTTCCTCGTCCTCCCTCTCCCCCCCTCGTCCTTCCATCATCGTCCTCCCATTGTCGTCATGTTCCTCCTCGTCGTCCTCCTCCTCTTCCCCCCCTCCCGATCCTCCCCCCTCCTCCTTTTTGTCGTCGTCGTCGACGTCGTCGTCGTCGTCGTCGTCGTCGTCCCGTTCCTCCCCCTCCTCCTTCTCCTCCGCCTCTTCCTCCTCCTCCTCCTCCTCCTCCTCGTCCTCCTGCAAAAGCAGCCCGCCGCAGGCGCCGAAAAAATTGGTTTGTACACTGAACGTGGTTTGGGTCGCTGGTGGGCCGCGGGTTCTCCACCAGAGACGAATGCAAAAGATGCCCGCCGCAGGCGCCGAAAAATTGGTTTGTACCCTGAACGTGGTCGCGGGTGGGCTGCGGTCTCTCCACCTAGAACGAATGCAAAAGATGCCCGCCGCAGGCGCCGAAAAATGTGGTTTGTACCCTGAACGTGGTTTGGGTCGCGGGTTGGTCGCGAGTTGGTCGCAGGGTGGGTCGCGGGCTCTCCACCTGGAAGGAATACAAAAAAAGCCCGCCGCAGGCGCCGAAAATGTTGGTTTGTACCTTGAACGTGGTTTGGGTCGCGGGTGGGTCGCGGGTGGGTCGCGGGGTGGGTCGCGGGTGGGTCGCGGGTGGGTCGCGGGTGGGTCGCGGGTGGGTCGCGGGGGTCGCGGGTGAGTCGCGGGGTGGGTCGCGGGTGGGTCGCGGGTGGGTCGCCGGTGGGTCGCGGGGTGGGTCGCGGGGTGGGTCGGGGTGGGTCGCGGGTGGGTCGCGGGGTGGGTCGCGGGTGGGTCGCGGGTGGGTCGCGCGGGGTGGGTCGCGGGTGGGTCGCGGGTGGGTCGCGGGTGGGTCGCGGGTGGGTCGCGGGGTGGGTCGCGGTGGGTCGCGGGGCGGGTGGCGGGTGGGACGACGACAACAAACAACAACAACAACAAACAACAACAACAACAACACGAATCCGCACCGCGGAATCCCACTTCAGCCACGCACCCAGGGACAGTGAATGACCGTTCGGCCCCCTCACTCTGATATAGATAGATAGATATATAGATATATCGATAGATATCTAGATAGATAGATAGATATATAGATAGATAGATAGATAGATAGATAGATAGATAGAAAGATAGATAGATAGATACACATATATATATATATATAGATATATATATATATATATATAAAGATAGATAGATAGATGGGTGGATGGGTATGCTGAATAGATAATACGATAGGTAGGTCGATAGATAGATGGGTAGATGTGCGCGACACTCGGAAAATTGAAGAAACCACGAAAGAACCCAGACCCATCGCAAATCGACCGCCTCCCCCTCCCCCCCACCCTCCTTCTCACCCGTTGGTGGCCCTATCGGTATGTTCCGTGCTCGGGTACATCTACCCAGCCCCGGGTCCTGGCATGAGACCCAGATCGCAGGTGTACCAGAGTACGGACTGTCCACGCGAGGGCCACAGAAGGACGCTTCAGGCTCATGAGGACATTGGCAGCAATATTCGCGTATCACAAACATGGAGCGGAAAACATGCTGGAAGAGAACGGCTCGCAGAGATAGGCCTTCGGCATTACAAATGTCGTCCTGAATACATGTAAGACCCACCGCGCGCCTTCTTCCACCCACGCTGCCAAGCGAGGTCAGGATACACAGGTACCGTTTTGAGATCCACTAGCGGTCCTTCGTGACGACCCTACCGACAATTGTGTTTTGTGTGCTGACACACTCCTTCGCAGAAATTTCACCATGGCGACTCATACCAATTGTCGTCGTTGCCAAAGAATGGACAACCATTTGCATCCATACATCTTAACGTAGTACTTTGTCGACAATAATCTCAAGTTGTGATGCACGGGAGCGGCACGTGCGCCACCATCCAGCAAGCGTAACGCCATGCATTGCCTTCCGGAAAGCACCAGGGGCTTCTCATCGGAGTCTCCAGTCTTCCCCTCCTCCTCGTAGGTAAGCCTCAGAACACCCACAACACCACCGTGCCCGGAGCGGGGGGAGAAGGCGGAGGAAGAGGAGGAAGAGAAGGACGAGGAGGGAGGAAGGGGGAAGGGAGGAGGCATCCCCAGACCCTCTGCGACTGCACTGGAGCCACCTCCCGCAGCTGGCTGACAAGGCCCGCGTCGGTGGCGCCACTGGCGCAGGCCTGGACCCACTCCTGGCGCGGGGTGGGCACGATTGGGCGCCCGGGCCTCGGGCACATCGCGCCCGAGGACCCCTCGCGCACGACGGACACACACACACGACGGAGTCCCGCCAGCCCTGCGGGAGCGCGGCCGGCCCTAGGACAGGAGAGCATCCTCCAAGCTGGGCGTCGCTTCGTGGGAGGGCGATACTTGAGGGTGGAGGAGTGGGTGCACTCTTCGGGCCCTGGAGGCCCCCCTCAAGGGGCCCTGAAGGGCCCCTTGAGGGGCCCTACAGGGCCCCTTTTCTGTAGCCCTCGCCGCTCCCCCATGTATCGCCCCCCCATCACGCGTCGACCAACCAAGAACATGAGACGCTGCGCCGGCCAAACTGAAGAGCATTCGAGGGCACCCTCTCCCTGGATTCACAAGAACATCCAACAAAAACGAGGAGCATAAGGGCACCCTCACCGAGCCGACCTCGATCTTATACCTCGGTCCGACCGTAAGAGGTTTAGCGAATCACCCTGAGGTCCGGCGCTGCAATTCTTCCTGGACGGGCGGTCTCGCCCTAATTCCGGACACCAAGACAATCACATATCGATCCGGCTCAAAAATACTGTGAAGGAAGAAAGGGTCTAGGGCTCCGGAGGTGATGTGTCGCAAGGATGTAGCTTGCATCCGCGTCCTCAGCTCTCAGTGAACAGAATCCCGCCAGCGATCTCAGTGAACGGGATCCCGCCAGCCTTCGCGCGCAATGCTTTTATAGCGAGGTCGACCGCCGAAGGTACATTCTGGGAGGTCTTCGCAAGACCGGCGCCCGCGCAACCCGGGTCACCACGCAACCACGGGTCGGCCAGGGCCCCGTGGCGACCCAGCCAGCCAGTAGATGCCAAGCCCGGGCCAAAGGAGGGCGGGAAAAAGTCATCGGCCCCACGTGGCTCCTAAGCCCAGGTGGTCAAGCAGAGGGGGCTGGCTGACATCCGCTCGGAGGCTACTACTGGGAGGTCGTCGTCTGAAGGACTAAGGAGGATTAAGCCCCACTTGGAGGCTGTTGCGCCAAATTCGGCAGCGGATTAAGCGGAATTACGCGGGTCTAAGCGAGATTCAGCCGGATTGAGCGACATTGAACCGGATTTAGCCGCAGTTCGGACCAGGGCAAAATCACAATTAAACCTCCCAAGAGTTGCATCCGAACGTCCGTTGGTACTGGCGCCCGTTACGTGAGTCCGGACTAAGCGACCCTTTTCGTTGGGGAGGGGCTCCGTGTTCCTTGATTGCTTCACAAGTTGCCTTGGGTGTTTCCCTTTGGCTTTCGATGGGAAGTCGAAGTTCAACTTGTGGATAGAAGGGGCCTCGTTCCTTATGTAGGGCTCCCTGGGTCAACGCCCCGACTGTAGGACCGGATTCGGCGGCTCCCGTCGGGACAGAGGCGTGCTGGACAAACTCCGGCAAGCGCTTCACGGCAACGCGCGGCGGCGCCTGGGGCCCCCCGTCGAAAAAGTCCCCCTGGGCAGGTCCAGGCCAAGTCGCCGCAAGGCCCGGACCACGGGTGCCCCAAAACTCTAGGGCTCCCAACTTCGCGCTTCGCGCTCCGCGAAGCGCGAATGACTTCGCGCTCTCGCGCCGCCCCCCCAAAGGGAGAAAAGGAGGACGAGGAGGAGGGGGAGGAGGAACGAGGACCGCGAGGCGCGAAGCGCGAATGACTTCGCGCCCTCGGGGGAGCCCTTTTGAAAACTCCTGGGCGCGGCCCTGGGGGCCCCAAGAGTGCACGCCAGGGAGGCGCCACCTATAGGCGGCAGGCCCCCCTGTTCTCGGGCTATAACAGCGCTCCAGGACGGCCCCAGAGGCGCCCAAAAGACGGCCCATAAGGGAGGGCTCCGCCCAAACCCGAGGAGGGCCCCCAAGAGTCAAAACGGAGTCCTCCTTCATGCTATTTCTCCTTGGTCTTTCAGGGTGCTCGAAGATTTTGGCTTCTCCGCCTTTGCGGGTTTCCGACCGCCCAGGACGGGCCAAGAGGCCGCCAAGATCGCCCCAAGTCGGACGGCCCCAAAAGGACTCCAACACGGCCCAAGAGGCCTCCCACGAGAGTAGTCGCTGCGACCAGACGGGCACGCGGCAACGACGACACTGTACGGGGTGGCGGAATGAGCGAAACGATTATCAACACTGACCTGGACTGAGCGGGATGAGCCGGGTTTGTGTCGGGTTGGGCATAAGGGAGCAGCACAACCCTGTCAACCTAGACCAAGACGTGCTGCGTGTCGAGCTGCGCGGCTGTGAGCGGGCGGCGGCTGAGCCTTGCTGGCCCCTCTCCTCGATGCCTCACGGCTGTCTCCCTGGACCGGAAAGTGGCTGCCGCTTCCCTTCCCGCGGATGGCGGGACGTTCTGGCAACAACAGCATAAAAAAGGGGCCCAGGGACACACAAACGAGTGGCACGCGTGCCCTGGCTCTTGCACATTTGAGGAGAGAAAGAGGAGGAGGGGCATGTGGGGGGCAAGGGCAAGGGGATGGGGGACCAGAGCCAGGGGGACGGAACCACGAAAATAAAGGGGCCGGGGCGAGGAGGGCTGGGGCCGAGGTCAGGGTCGGGGCGAGTGGGGGTCCAGGGCAAGGGCAGGGGGACTGAAGCTCGGACCAGGGGCCAGAGGTCTGGGCTCGAACCACGAAAATACACGGTCCGGGGCGAGGAGGGCTGGGGCGAAAGCTAGGGTCGGGGCGAGTGGGGCCAAGGCCGGGAAACAAGCTGAGTTCAGCCAGGGCCAGAAGGCTGGGGCTCGGACCAGAGGCCAGAGGTCCGGGTTGGTGCGAGGGGGCGAGGGGGGGCGGGCCACAGCCAGGGGGACGACGACAAACCACGAACCACGAAAATAGAAGGGCCCGGGCGAGGGGGGCTGGGGCTAGAGACAGGGGGCGCCAGAGCCAAGGAGGGAGGCTGGGTTCAGGGCCAGGGCAAGAGGACGGGGGCGAGGGGGCCAGGGGAAGTAGGCCAGAGCCAGGGGGACGACGACGAACGGCGTGTGAGTTTCTGAAAGCGTGGACTTGAGCTCGCTCAAGCTTCGCTCTGCAGGGGGGGGGGGGCGTACGTTATTTCCGACGTCATTTACGACGTTTTTTGGTACACGGGGATATTTCCGACGTCATTTCGTACGTTTTTCGGTGCCCGGGGACAGGGGGGTATAGAAAACTCCACTTCCGGAGCCCCCCCGGATCGGCGGCACTGGCCGGAGGCCAGCCCAATAAAAGGTCCGGGGCGAGGGGGGGCGCCAGAGGCAAGGAGGGAGGCTGGGTTCAGGGCCAGGGCAGGAGGACGGGGGCGAGGGGGCCAGGGGAAGCAGGCCAGAGCCAGGGGGACGATGACGAACCACGAAAACAAGTGGCACGCGTGCCCTGGCTCTTGCACAAAGGTGTCCGAGGCTCAGGGGGGCTGCCCTGGGAAGCCTGGGCGGGGGGGGGCAGAGGGGGGGGGGCAGGGGGACGAACGACACGACACGACACGACACGAAAATAAAAGTGGCCCAGGGGGGCTACCCTGGGAAGCGTGGACAGGGGGGGGGGGGGGACGAACGACACGACGAACGACGAAAATAAAGGGTTCCGTGGCCCAGGGGGGCTACCCTGGGAAGCGTGGACAGGGGGGGGGGCGAGGGGGACGAACGACACGACGAACGACGAAAATAAAGGGTTCCGTGGCCCAGGGGGGCTACCCTGGGAAGCGTGGACAGGGGGGGGGGTGGGACGAACGACACGACGAACGACGAAAATAAGTTCCGTGGCCCAGGGGGGCTACCCTGGGAAGCGTGGACAGGGGGGGGGGCGAGGAGGACGAACGACACGACGAACGACGGGTTCCGTGGCTACCCTGGGAAGCGTGGACGGGGGGGGGCGAGGGGACCCTGGGAAGCGAGGGGACGAACGACACGACGAAAGACGAAATAAAGGGTTCCGTGGCCCAGGGGGGCTACCCTGGGAAGCGTGGACGGGGGGGGGCGAGGGGTACCCTGGGAAGCGTGGACAGGGGGGGGGGCGAGGGGGACGGGGGGGGGGCGAGGGGGACGAACGACACGACGAACGACGAAAATAAAGGGTTCCGTGGCCCAGGGGGGCTACCCTGGGAAGCGTGGACAGGGGGGGGCGAGGGGGACGAACGACACGACGAACGACGAAAATAAAGATGTCCGAGCTCTAGAGCACAGCTGTGCAAGAGAATAAAGGGTTCCGTGGCCCAGGGGGGCTACCCTGGGAAGCGTGGACAGGGGGGGGGGCGAGGGGTACCCTGGGAAGCGTGGACAGGGGGGGGGGGCGAGGGGGGCGGGAGGGGGGCGAGGGGGACGAACGACACGACGAACGACGAAAATAAAGGGTTCCGTGGCCCAGGGGGGCTACCCTGGGAAGCGTGGACAGGGGGGGGGGGCGAGGGGTACCCTGGGAAGCGTGGACAGGGGGGGGGGCGAGGGGGACGGGGGGGGGGCGAGGGGGACGAACGACACGACGAACGACGAAAATAAAGGGTTCCGTGGCCCAGGGGGGCTACCCTGGGAAGCGTGGACAGGGGGGGGGCGAGGGGGACGAACGACACGACGAACGACGAAAATAAAGATGTCCGAGCTCTAGAGCACAGCTGTGCAAGAGAATAAAATGTCCGGGGCGAGGGGGGCCTGGGGCCAGGGCCAGGGGACGCCAGAGCAAAGGAGGGAGGCTGGGTTCAGGGCCAGGGCAGGAGGACTGGGGCTCGGACCAGGAGCCAGAGGTCCGGGTTGGGACGCGGAGGCCAGGGGATGGGGGGCGACGACGATGATGGGAAGCCAGAGCCAAGGGGACGACGACGAAAAACGAAAATAGAAATGTCCGAGCTCTAGCACACAACTGTGCAAGAGAACCAATACACACAAATCCAGGGACTTCCCATATGTTCGCATGATTTCTGGGGTTTCGTCTTCCCCCCACTTCTCATAATTTCCCATCTGTTCCTGGGAACCCGCGATTCATTGTGTCTGTGTGTTTCCCCTCCTGACAGCAGCTTATGTCGGGCT